ATATATTTTAAAAACATAGATAACGATTAGCTGATTCACTACAATTATTCACAAATAACAAAATAAACAATGCTCTTTGAAAGAATACCCATGCCCATAGCGTAAGCTATATCAAATATATATGTATATAGGCATATTACATAGTAAAATACGATGTATACGATCATAATAACTTAACTAAGTAATGGCTATTTATTGGTAGAAGGAAATAAGTGAAAACAAAGTATGGTTAAGCCTAAAAAAGGATGCAACAAAACAATTAACGAATTGAAAAGACGCCTTCTTCGGGAAAAACAGTACAACAAATATAAAATAAAATTAAAATAAACACTTAGACTTAGTCCACTTAGCTACAATGCAGCATCCGAGAGGAGGGCAAGAGGAATGTAAATTATATTTAGTCCTTTTGTACGGATATTTAAAAAAAAAATTATATCAAACCGATTAAATTTGAGAAATAAAAATGTCGGGGATATAGATTAAAAGGAATTTGATAATCATATTTTCCGTATGATTAGTCTTGGGGAAAAAAAAGCGGAAATCACGTGACTGATGTTGATCAACATGGCGAACATCTGTAAAATAACAAAACAGCATACTTGTATTTTATGGAAAGTGGTTTCAGTTCAGCTGAGTACGTACAGTATTAAATTTGATCCAAGAGAAAATGTTCCAGATTTCTGATCTTAGTGATTACTCTAATGAGTTCCGCTAACTGACTTTAAATCAGACATTGTCAATAACAAATTTAAATTACATCACCTACCACCTACCAGTGTCAGTGTACCAGTACCAGCCTACCAACTCACTTTTTACTACTACCGACTACCGGTACTATAGACTTTAACTAACTACTACTACTACTATTAATACCTACTTTTCTCATTTCAGTATTATTTCAGTTTTCTGCTTCACAAAGCAAATCCATTCATCCCATGCCATAATAAATAATTTAGCTGTGATGCTAGATATTTTGCTCCATAATTCAAATAATTGTTTAATACAACTACTACTTTAAAGCTGTGTGAGTGTATTTTACCTCTGCATGCAGAGTTTGACTATGGAGGAAGCTTCTTATATCAGTTACGAGTTAATGTAGGTACTACACCCCCCCCCCTCCCCCCTGTAGGTATTTTTTTGTGTAACAAAATAAAAAATTATAAAAATGTTACAGTTATATAGAGCAAATTTGAAATAAAAAAATGAAACCAGAATCAACTTTCTAGTTCTAGCTTTATTACTTTTTGAGCTATGAATTTTAAAGTGCAAGTTGGTTTGGTATTTTTCACTATGAACTGCATCTCCACACCTTGAGACACCTGATCGAACCTCATTTAACTCTTGTTTAAATAATATTTTTATACAACTTTTGTCGACATCTTCCGTCATTAAAAAGGGGGCGCGGTCAAAATTAGGTTGAGCGACCTTTTGATAATGCAGGTTACTAAAACGAGCATAATGAACGTCGGACATGACCTACATCAATGAGAGTTGGTACACATAAACATCAATATACAATGATTTTGAAGTTTTCATATGAAAGACCTAGTCTTTGAATTTCATAAAGAAATTTTGAGGTAAAGAGGCCTTATATATACCTATGAGTTCCCAATATTAAGGTTGATCAAATAAGGCAAAACAATGTTGGAATGTCGGTCAAGATGTCCCTATTGTGAACATGTGGAAGGATTAGATAATGTTATGAAAAAATAGTCCTTTCACTAAGGAAAAGCACAGACATCCAAAAATTAAAAAAGCTGTAATGCTCCTGGAATTTGAAAAAATAAAAAAAAAACCTGGTAAACTCCTTAGTTTTTAAAATTTCTCCTTAAATGTCCTGGAATTTGTTTTTCCTCAGAGGAAGAATGTAAAAAAAATCTTGGTCGTGATAGTTATTTATTTATTTTTTCTATTTAATTCATAGTCTATTTTTAGCACTTCTGTTTTCAAAACGAATTCACCACAATGCTAGTGGCTTCCCGGTTACCGCGCAATTTTTGGATATGAAATGTCAAACCTTACTGCTTTGATAGACCAGAATTTTTTTGTTCAGTTCGGCGTTCAACAGATTTTTGGGTAAGTATAGTGTAAAATACATTAAATAGATATTTAAATGTAGTTTTTTAATAGTCAGTTAACTATTATGAATATAAAACTACATGTCCGATCGCTCTATAGATTGACTAAGCTTAGACTACACTTTTTTTTAAAGTTGAATTTCAATGTTTTTACTGTAGGTAGTACAAACTGAAGAAAAAGATGCGTTTCCTACGGTCATTTTTCAAACTTTCTAAAAAATAATTAACCCGCTTCTAGTAGAATTAGAGAAATAAAATAAATATGTGAATAAAGTCTTTATCTGGCGAATTATCATAGTTTTATGTCTTTAACATGTGTTTGAAAGTTTATTTTGTGTGTTTAGAAAGTAACATTTTTTACCAATTTTTACAGTGTTTCGCGAGTTCCGGTTTACCCTTGGTGGTTCAAAAGCTTGCGGCTATTTAAGTTTTCGGAATAATTCGACTACCTTAAGAAAGAGCAGATGCTGTTCTTTCATTTAATATATAGAAAGTATATTTATCTCGCTTATTTTATTTTGAAAAAAGCCGTTGAAAACTTTCATATAAGAAAAATGGTGGAAAATTTTCCGTAGACTGTAAAAATGCTATGCCTAATTTGAAGTAACAATTAATTCGAGGTAGCAATATTATAGAAGCTTTCGGTATTAGCCATAAGTCTACCCCATGACCAAAGAAGAAGAATCGATTTATCAATATTTACAAATGGTAGTAGGCCTTTATTAATAACAATAACATTGCCACATAATTTTTTTAATACAGTTTATAGAGCTAGGCCTTAAACTTTATTTAAGTTAAGTTTAAGAGGGAGTAGGCCTTCTAAAGAGGCAAAAATAAAATTTTAAAAATTAAGTTATGTGATATTAATTTTGCGTATCATAGTTTACGATGATTTTGTAACTTCATTAAAAAGTTATTAAAACTAGCTGATGCATCCATTGAGCCTGACATAAGTTAATGTAGTTAAGACATATTTATAGTTAAAAACTAAGTTATGCACCCCGTGCTCTAGGTATACTTTGCAGTAATTGTAAGAACAGTTGCGTGGTTGGGGGGGAGGGGAGATAGTTAAGAGATAAAAAAAAAGTGGGAGCTCCGTTGTCGACTCATTCCCCTATGGAAAATCCGAGCTATGCCATTACATAGGCATATGCCTATCTTAGTATCTCTTCTACCTCTGTATTACGACCAGCAATAAATACCAGTATAATATAGTCTATATTATGTTAGCCCTATGTTAGACCTAATATCATAATATATTAATTCTATTTTGTTTCACTATTCAGGGTCTAGGGTAAATAAAATAATGCCCAACAGTTCCTTTGAAGACTGATTGTTAAGATAACAATCCTGATTGAACAAGCCATAACTGCCACTCTATACTGCAAATTGACTCTAAACTGAGTCAATCCCACAATCCCAAGCTAGTGGACTGGAGTTCAATCCCCAGAAAATGCCTAGACAAGCAAAAACATCACCAGCACGCTGGGAATGGGATCGTTACCCTTGGATGGAGAAGGCAAACTCTGAAATCAAACCCGGAGATGAAGTCCCACAGGTGTTATGACACTGACATATTGAAAATTCCTACAACTCCTATGATGTAGAACACATGAAAAGCGAAGTGAAACAAACAACCACTGCTGGTAATCTACTGCATCCTGGTTTATATCCAGTCATCTTGACTAAGTCTTGCCTTTGGATCAAATAGGCAAGGATGAGAGAGTGAGGCTGATGAATTAAGCAACTTCCTCTAAATTTAAACAAAATACAGCTCATGTCAACGCTTCTTCTGAAGTCTTAGTCATCTTTTTGTGTACGGAATGAAAAACAAGATTGGAAATATTGATATCTAGTATATTTGCAGGGCAGTTCTTGGATGCCATGAAAATTGAGAGGTAATGATTAATAAAATTTTTCTAGTTCAACTTTGGCTTTTTCACCTACCCCAGGTGTCCACTTTTGCAACTTCTTAGTCAAGCTCTTAAGCTATGTGTATCTTTGGAAATAAAATTACTTATTTGTTTGATTGAAATGGATTATTTTATAACTTTATTATTTGTTTGTTGTCAAACATCTACATCTTATGAAAACCAAGTTACTCAATTGTGTGTGAACTCCGTTTAGCTAGGTGTATCTTTGGAAATAAAATTACTTATTTGTTTGATTGAAATGGATTATTTTATAACTTTATTACTTGTTTGTTGTCAAACATCAAGTACATCTTATAAAAACCAAGTTACTCAATGTGTGTGAACTCCGGACCAGAGTATCCATACCTCATTAAATCAAATAATTGCCATAGCATTAGCAGTCCTTAGAGTAAGTACTATATAAGTGCACTCATGTCCAGTTACTACAAAAAACTTGTTTAAACGTATACAGTCTTTTAT